CGGCAATGTAACAAATACAGATTTTATGTTTTAAAAATGATAATATCTTTATTTTTAAACTTAAAAATTTATTTTAATTCAAACACAAAATAAAATTTGTATTTACCAAAAATTTTAAATTCATACTCTTTTATATTAATTGTGTTCTTAAGAACTTCATCACAAACAAAGTCATTTCTAAGATAGTCTCCAAAATAAATAACACTCAATGTTATTAAAAATTATTTGGCTATTGACTAGCTCCGAAATTAAATTAAAATATAAAATAAATGGGATAATTCATACAATGCAATAGCAGTTTTTTTTCTACTAACTAGTTATGAAAACTTGAAATCACTAAATGCACACACTCCGCTACTGGTGGTTCCAATCTTCTCACGTCCACTTTGTCAGACCAGCGCCAATTCGTTGCACTCATTTGCATCGTCTTGGGATCATATTTTTTTCCTGATTGGTCATCGATTATACTTATTACTATGCCCGGGGAATTTTTCTTCCTCGTAAATAATTAGTGCATAATCACCAATTGCGATAGATTGAGTTGACGTGAGATCAATATTTGGTGATACATTCTCGTTCCCCGATGTTTTTTTTTGTTTTTTCTTGTATTGTCTTAATTTGACTTTCTTGTTTCTTATTGTTTTCTTTCTTTTTCTGACTCTGCAACGACTTTTCTAATTTGACTTTTTTTCATCTTCAATATGATGCTGATGTTTTATAAAATCGGCAGCTATAGCTACTGTGGGTGTTAATCTTTTTAAATTTCTTTTAGGTAGACTGCTTTTAGGTGTTTTCGGCCACAATAAAGCATTCTTGAACGGAGTTAGAAAACTTGATTTTATAGCATCGGTAGTCCCAATATTTTGGTTAGTGCAATTTGATTCAGCGGCGGCATCTTCGCATACTGCACTCTCAGTAGTTTGAGCACTTGATTCATTCATAATTGTTGCTTCATCGATACCCACGGTTGAACACGGTGGAGCTTTTATAGTTGAGTTAAACAAGCTACCATCAGGCTGCACTGTAAATACAGAAAACGAACCGTCCTCCATATTTAATAAATCCGCCATTTGTAGGTGAAGAGAAGCATCCAGAACGTTGTTTGCTACGAGTGTATCAACACTAATGTTTAAATCATTCTCCACATTGCTTCCGGAATTTTTATGTAATTTTCCCCCAAAGTGAAAAAGATTCCCATCTTTAATGTCGCCTAGCCACACATCATCTACTTTTGGGGTTCCTAAGCGCTCCTCAAACTGACGGAGAAAATCTTCATCTGGTTTTGCGGTAGGTGAGATACTACATTCATAAGCATTGTGTCCATCTGTCAAAGCTCTTGTGATCTCACTTGCAGATGTCTTGATGAGCCGTTGATAACCTGGAGCATCAGGATTAATTGGTTAAGGCCCGCATGCCTTGAATCCTTGTTGTATGGTTTCAACCTTTAATGTGGAAACACATTCATGAAGAAGTGGCGCAAAATCATCACGTTTAAGTCGACTTCCGCTCTTTTGCATTCTCCAATCGTGAATTGTTTTCTTTCAGCTGGCTTTGAGTGGATGAAAAACAGCTACGTCCATGGGCTGCATGACGTGGGTAGAATAAGTTGGTCCTTTTTCTTTACAAAATTCGCATAATGCCAGCGACAAATGGGACAAATGCCCGTCCATGAAAAGTATCACGGGAAGCTTGATGTTCTCTTTGATCAAGAATTGATAAAAAACGTTCGTGATGTACTCGTAGAAAGTCTCGCAGGTCATCCATCCATTGTCCGACTTAACAATAGCCCAATTTTTAGGATACTTTGCCAAAATATTTTGTGGCATTCGTTTATATGGAAACAGTGCGAAAATTGGCATTAATTTTCCGCTTGCTGAGGCCCCTAAAAACAAAGTCAAATTTTCCTTCTCGTCATTCCCTGAATTTATGTACACCGTCTTTGCTCCTTTGTGTGTCAAAACTCGTTGGTCTTTCAGGCACATAAAACTTGCTGATTCGTCGCCATTGAAAATCCTAGCCGGATCTTATAAGATCTCTAATTAATTGTTTTCTTTTAAGTATGCTAGAACCCGTTCAAAGCATCCTCTTAATTTTTCTTCGGTTGCTCCTATGCGTGCTGGTGTAAGTGGCTGCGCTACTCGATGAGAAATTGAAGGATTCCGTGATAAGAATCCTTCACACCAATGTCTTCCAGGTACGCCGTTAGTGAAAGAATTTTCACGGCCGAGTTCTTTTACTAACTTTGAAACTGAAAACAAAAGTTGATGTTTGCTGATGGCGAATCCACTATCAGCAACTGTAGTTACCCATTTTGCAAGAAGCTCTTCTTCTGCTGCAGTCAAAACTGTTGGGTTTTCAGGTCCCCTTTTTTTTGGTTTATTTTTTTTTATTGATTTTGTCTTGTAGTGCCTGGTCAGGTATCTTGTATAATTTTGCAGCTTTGTATAAACTCAATCTTTGACTATTGATATCATTCATGTGTATCATGTGTAGCGATTTTTTGCCATTTTTGCTGTAAAATAAAATTATACTCGTTTGATGTAATAATCAGCGAGTGGAACACAAATTTTAAATTACTTACTTGCAAAAGTAAGCGCTTTTTTAATAACTTTCGAGTCGCATTCAATAAAATGCTAGTGTTAAGCGTTGCGCCGCAAATACGGCCTTCTCTTCTTACTGTTTTCAAAGAATAAATTCGTGATAGCAATTTAAACCTTAAATTATTACATATCATCGTGTTTTTTTTTTTTGGTAATTATCAATATGATCTCAAAATAATGATAATGAATTAAATTTTTGATACATTTTCAACATTTTACAGTGAATAATAGAAATAACCAAAATTCTAAATGTCAATAATTCATTAGAATGTAGTGAACCACAGATATTTACCATTAAAATATTAACGTTTAGGTTAATAAAACTATAGTACGGAATTACCTCAACAATTTCTTAAGGGTTTAATTTAATGACAAAAAGAATTACCCCTCTATTCTAACAGAGTCACAAAACTTAGCTCATCACTGTTGTGATTTCTAGTGCGCCGAGAAATGTGTCACAAAAAAATCGATTTTGAGTGCTAGAAAAATACACAAATTTAAAAATTTTTATTGTAGCGGCATATTTTTTGGAGCGACAAGCTTTGAGGCGCAGTAGAAATCACAGCAGTGATGAGCTAAAGTTTGTGACTTTGTTAGAATACGGCTGCTAGTGAGATAGTTTTTGTAAGAATTTAATCAAAACACGAAAAAAATGTAAAGTGTTGAAAAGCCCTATTTCCGTGTTAGGCACGGAACTATGTACCTTGTAAACGAAATATGTACATAATTCCGTGAATCAGAAATATCACTTTTAAGGTAATTAAATCTACCGGGATGAATTTGACAGTTACCCAAACAATTAACAGATGTTTAATGAATAATAAAATATAATCATAGTGAGAAAAATACTTATCGTCAAATTTTTACAGCCTTAAGAAAATACACTACAACATTTCGCTTAGGACATCTCCTTACATGATGTTAGTTCTCCGAACTACAACTTATAGACTGCCTGATATTATATAAATATAATCCATAAGTACAGTCAGAATAGACCTTATTAGATTTTAAAAATTAAAGTTGATGCTGGTATTTTTTTTTTTTGAACAAACATTCTATCAATTCCTTATTTAAATAAAAAAATCGGAATCCAACGGAATAACGTACTACCCCGCAATTGTGTACATTTACCTTACCCTAATATGTGTACATATTACCTCATAGGATTGTGTCCACCAGTATAAGTTTGTTTAGTGGTTTTCTCTCTCATCTGCCGTCCCAGTTAAACTGCAGCAATGCCTCCTCCGAAAATAAATGTTTAATGCCGCTGGCTATGTCCTCAAACAAACCTTTTATTTTTATGATACTTATAAGTGACATTTTGAAAAATTTATGTACAGCAATTAGGACGTGAAATATGTATACATACCGTAATATAACTCATTACAATGGCTTATGCATACTCTGGGTCTTCTAATTGTGTTTCTATTAAATCGCACAGCGCAATAGGACTGCAGTGGTAGAGAACTGTCGATATCGATAAATTTTTTTAATATTGGATTCGTAAATCAGTTTTTCTTGCTCATGGCGTTATTCAAAGCCCTTTTCTTCATTTTAAATTAAATATTTTTTTAAAACTTATCTTTATTTTTCCACAGCACTTTTGAGTTTTGAGCATCTTTTCGTTTTGCGTCTTTCTTTTTTCTGTTGATGTACGCATTTGAACTTCTTCAGTACCAAGTACTTTATAATACGGTTTTATTTATTACGTTTACTTCCTGGGACTGGCTTTTGTCGACTGAAGAATTTGAAGTTCTCTTCCTTTTGTAGCTGGTACGTTCCTCTTGATTTTCATCACTCGTGGTAACACCAATCACAGGCACTCGTACTAGCGGCGTTTACATCCAAATCGGCAATATTGTTAATCACTTCTTTTGATTGTGGGTGCATTAAGTGTGAATTATGGGTTGATGCAGAATTCCAAGTATTGGAAAGCAATGTCTCAATTGTATTTTTATCGCCAGTCTTATTAAAAATTAAGAAAATTGAGAGTGACAGTGTTACCAACTACCTACTCAGAAGCATTTTTAACAAATTTTTCAGGTCAGTAATTTGGTTATAACCATAAAAGTGTCTGATAACATAGTTGAAGGGGGACTTGTCTGCATTCACCGTGTAAACAGACAAAAAGTAGTGGCAATTGGTAATAAGGTTAAACAATTAAAATTTTTCAGAACCAAAATCGAAAGGCGACATATAAAAAATGGACGCAAAGAAGAATTGTCTGGCAACACCAGTGAAATTTGGCGACGATTTTGCGACGACTGCTAGAAAGGAGTGCTTGCTCACAGTTTCATGTTAAAAATGTTACAACTGCTTACACCATTTTTTGCTTGGAAGGCAAGCCTCCATAGTATGCGTATCCGTATATGTACGTGCGTTTGACATTTACGTTTCGAAATCACAGTTCATACAGATTTCTTACATTTTCATGCGTTGCTACCATAAAATTTTTTTATACATATTACATGGTCAAATTGTTTGACTAAACTGTGTGTATGGGTTAGTGAAATTTTGTATGTATGTGTCATAAGAGATTGAATGCTCTTTGACTAAAATTAAAGTTATCGAATTATATGTACACAAACACGTAGTTTTATCTTACCATTTTGCTCATGTAAGGTCCCTATTATGAAAACGTTGTATTACCCATATTTCTGGATTTCCCGTTTTTAATATATATGTATATACATAACTGTTTTTGTCGCCGCAGCGCTGATATGCTGCTAACCTAACGAAAAAAAAGATTCCACATGCTGATAAACAATATGTATTGCAAAACTATTTAAGGGTACGATTTTTGCTTCGAAACAAATATTTTACTCCTTCTAGCTAAATTAAATAAACTATGTTCACGTTGTATACACTGTATCGCTTACAAAAAATAATTAAAATTTGCGACCACGCTGTTACAAAGTATGTATAAGTATCACGCATAACACACATTAACCGCCCACTTCTGTGTTTTCTTGATAAATTTTTTGTAATGAAATTTTATCAAGATTTTTATCAAGTAAAAGCTTCCTTCGCATTCTGTGTCAATATTTATAAAACAAAAAGCTCTACGATTTCCACATNCTGATTTCCACATGAGTGGAACTGATTTCATTGTCACATATGAAAAATATGAAATTAAAAGCAAAAAAGCTTTTGACTGCCGTAGCCGAGTAGGTACAGATGTCGACTATAATTCCGTTTGTCGCAGGTTCAAATGCCGCCACATGGAGTATTTAATTGTTAGAAACAAATTTATTAATGTACAAAAGGTATACATTTCACATGAAATTTCAATTTGTCAATAGCATTTTCAATCTTGATAATTTATCAAGAAAATAGCTTTTGATTTCTGTGCTAGAATACCAATTCTTGATAAATAATAAAAAATTGACAAATTATAAAGATTTTCAATTTATCAAGTGCACAGAATCGGGCTGTAAAATGATGTTATAGAGTTACCTTTAAAAGTGTCACTTACGGCCCAATTCTGTGTTTTCTTGATACATTTTTTGTAAAGAAATTTTATCAAGATTTTTATCAAGTAAAAGCTTCCTCGATTCTGTGTCAATATTTATAAAACAAAAAGCTCTACGATTTCCACATAAGTGGAACTGATTTCACATGGTGGAACTGATTTCATTGTCACTATGAAAAATATGATTTAAAAGCAAAAAGCTTTTGACTGCGTAGCCGAGTAGTGAGATGTGACTATAATTCCGTGTGTCGCAGGTTCAAATGCCGGCACATGGAGTATTTAATTGTTAGAAACAAATTTATTAATATACAAAATGTATACATTTCACATGAAATTTCAATTTGTCAATAGCATTTTCAATCTTGATAATTTATCAAGAAAAAAGCTTTTGTTTCTGTGCTAGAATACCAATTCTTGATAAATAATAAAAAATGACAAATTATAAAGATTTTCAATTTATCAAGTGCACAGAATCGGGCTGTAAAATGATGTTATAGAGTTACCTTTAAAAGTGTCACTTAATCTAGTAAGTCCTGCTTGGTCTAAAAATTCTTCCTTTGCAGTAAATTAAATCTTATTTAAACACGCACTAATTTTGTCTTTTTCTGATGATTAACGTACCTATGTACTTATCACGATGGCAAAGAAGAAAATAAAACCAACGGAAAACCAGCAGGCCATTTCATGGTAGACTGGCAAAGTTTCAAACTAGAGCTGCGAAACTATCGATAGTTTCGCTTTGACACCACTATCGATGAATGGTAGCCACTATCGCGATACCATGGGAAAGCGATCCGCATCAAAAAATTGCCAAAATTCAACGGCAAGCCTTAGCAAACTTCAAACAACAAAAGTGCATACTCAAAAACTTTCTAAGAAACCTAATTAAAAAACTCGAAATTGTGATGACTCGAAAAACGCGAATTTTCCTCGGTTTTGTAAACTGTTTAAAATTTGGACTTGAACGTGTTGTATTTGTTGCTTAAAATACTAATTTTGTTATTTTTAATAAATCANCTTTCTAAGAAACCTAATTAAAAAACTCGAAATTGTGATGACTCGAAAAACGCGAATTTTCCTCGGTTTTGTAAACTGTTTAAAATTTGGACTTGAACGTGTTGTATTTGTTGCTTAAAATACTAATTTTGTTATTTTTAATAAATCACACTAAAATGGTGTTTAAAACTAACATTTCTGTTTTTTTCTAGTAATGTTTCCATATTCAATATAAAAACGGCCGTAGTAAGGTTCTGATATTTTTTCTCTTACCGATAGTATCGATAATATCGAATGGTGAGGCCCAAAACTATCGAAAATATCGAATGGTGGTCCAACCATCGATAGTTTTGCAGCTCTATGGCAAACTATCGATGGCACTATCAATGTATCGAACTATTTAAGAGCGAAATGCACCACACAAGCGGCTTGACAAACATATTTCAAACTTAGAGCGTGTGTGAATCGGTAACAAAGTTCGCTGCGAGTAAATTTTTGACAAGTATGAGGTGAATAAAATTTCACTAGCTCATCAGGCTAGTGAAATTTTTGACAAATGCATATACAATTTTGACAATCGCAGAGACTGTTGATGTGCATACTTTTTCTGCCCCAAATTTAAGCAAAAACAATAAAAAATAGGGAAATGGAGTTTGTGGTGGCAAAATTAAAAAGTATTACACTACATTAAATATTTCTTGTAAATAAATTTCTTTTATGTTTCAAACGCATGAATTAAATAAAATTAAATTGATTAAATGCTTAAATTGATGAATTGAAATCAATGATGGTAGAGGGTTTCTTAAAATATTCATTCTATAATATGTCATTCTGAGGTTGTTAAAAAGATTTCATTTCACACAGCAGATTGGCAAAACTGTCTCCCCATAGTAGAAATATTATTCACCAGCCTAGATAGCCTAGAGCTTTTTTTTTAGTAACAAATGACTTGTTCTGGCGTCAAGCACTTAGCTTGGATACTAAATTTTGGGTAAGAAAAATGCATACAATTTAAAGCCAATAAGATTTCCAAGAACATAATTTTTAGATCAACTTTCCTTGGTATTGGCTGCCCTAATAGCCAAGCATGTTGACATGCTTTTACTTTTCCACGAAGATTTTATTTGGAAGGTTTCTAACCGCAGAACTTCACAGGGAAACACCAATGGCCTTGGACACCGATGGACAAAGAGGAGGGATCTACAGTTTTACGCCGACGCCGAACGGTGATTGTATTTTTATGAGAAGCTGTTTTTCATGACAAAAATACACTTGGAGGTTTGCCATTGCCTTCCGAGCGCGCCCGTTGTTAAAAAAACCTTTTTTCTATATTTTTGTTGCTTTGACCAGGGATTGGAACCAGACCATGCTAAGTGGTAGCGCGCACTGCGCAACGAAATATATTTAGTTGTCAAAAGTAATCTCTTTTCTCAGTGTATTTCTAGTTTATGGATAGTTTTTGAAACATTTATTTTAACATAGCAAAACACAACGCATCATTTATTAAGTTATATTTTTGGGTCGGTTACGGATAGCAGCGCAACCACGGTTCGGTTGCCAGCTGACAACGCAACTAGAAAGAAAATTTGCATTACGAATGGCAACTATCGTCAGTTGCTGTAGAGTTATCGATAATCGAAATTTGACAGTTCAACATCCAGCAAGCGGCTGTAAACAAGCTGTGCGAGTAAAATTTTATTATTAAAAAAAAAGTTCTAAAGAAAAGACAGCAATAAAGCTAAGTTCAGCACAATTATTTGTTTAAGAGGAAGAGAAGTGCATGCANTTTTTATGATCAGTTTGTGTTCATTTTCAAAGCATATTGAGGACTTCCAAAAGAAGCTGTAGTATAATTAGGTAATAAACCAATGGATGTTATGCTATCAAATGAATGTTAGAGCACAAAAGTATGTATACTCAATACATTGAACAGTTTCGATGAAACTGTACTGTGCTATAATGAATTTGCGTTTTTTTCTTACACGATCTACGTTTTTAATCGCATTGGTAGGTTTTATATTAGTAAAAAATTAATTTGTTGTGTATAAATGTCAGTCTGATTTGAATATTCTACCAAAAACCCATTTGGCTTGTTGTGTGTGGTCAAAGATCATCTTAAATTGTAACGAGCTTACCTCCTTAGGTTTTTTGTTAATTTTGGTTTCCATTTAATTTTTTCTACTTAACAGCAATAACGATTATACCAGATAGAACAGCAGTTCATACCGCTGATTTCAGAATTTCAATACTTAAATTAATTATTTGCACCCAATAAATTGTTTACATTATAAATAACAGTCTCAGCATTCTTCTGTATTCGTTTGTTTTAAAAACAGCTGTGTTGTCAAGCAATATTTAGACAACAAATATTTGCAATTGCTTGCATACTTTTGCGTTGAAATTATTTATGTAAAATTTTGTAGTTACCATATGTTCTAATTACTAAAAAAATTACTTTCTTTACGGCAGTGCATTTCCCCCTTTGCGTCAGAATAAAAAAATTGTTTTGACCG